GGCAGCCTCTCCTGCCGCGCGCGGTTCCAATGCAGCACCGCTGCTAGGCAGAGCCTCGGGGCGCAGCGGCGGCGTGAATTAGTGTTTTATCCCGGCCCCAAAGAGGGGTGGTTTTTTCTCGGAAGCTGCAGCAGGTACAGGGCACACGTGCCGTGCAGGCTCGTTTCGCTCTGCAGAGCATCAGCTGGTCCCGTGTCTGGCTCAGCTCCTCCAGACATGTGTGGTGCCTGAGGGCCCTGTGCTCCCCTGAAGCTCTGTCTGCACCTCTGCTGTCTCCTGCCCCGGGGAAGAGTTAGTCCTTGACTCTGTGCAGGCTGCTGCTCCACTGAGTGGTTGCCACTGTGTAATTTGGAAGTGTTTGCTGGGCTGTGTCTAAATGTCACATATTCTTGTGGCTTAGGCTGCTAGGTAGCTCTGGAAAGGCTTGACATACATAGGTAGAGAAGGTAAGAGTCATTTCAGTTTATGCCTTGAAGCTAGGGATGCTTTAGTCTCTAATAAAGTGTGTCATAAAGCGACTTGCCCGTTATTGTATGGAAAATCATAGAATCAGCCAGGTTGGAAGGGACCTCAAAGATCATGGAGTCCAACCCTACCGTGGTTACTAGGCCATGGCACTAAGTGCCACATCCAGTCTCAGCTTGAAAACCTCCAGGGATGGTGAATCCACCACCTCCCTGGGCAGCCCATTCCAATGTCTGATCACTCTCTCTGTAAAAAATCTCTACCCGGTATCCAACCTGAACCTCCCCTGACAGAGCTTGAGTCTGCGATGTGCTTGAACCACAGATGGAGTTATTTAGTACTCTTAAACACTTCTATTTCTTAATAAGAGCAGCTTTGCAATTTTGGTTTATTTTTTTAAAATTTCTTCATCACAATGTGTTGACTGAGAACACACTTTGTTTTGTTTAACCAGTATCTTTTTTTGTTTAATTTCTAGGTTAAAGTGAAAATACCTTTTGGAAACAAATACCTTGATGCTATCTTTTCGGTCCCAGAGAAGAAATCAGCATATGGAGTGATTCTTACCCATGGAGCTGGAGGAGATATGAATTTCCCTCACTTGGTGTCTTTGGCAGCCTACCTTGCATCCTGTGGAGTTCTGTGCCTGCGCTTTACTTGTAAAGGCCTTAATGTTGCTTATAGGACTAAGGCTTTCAAAGCAGTTGTGGTAAGAAGTGACCAAATTCTGCCAATGCTTATATCTGTGCATGTTGTCTTCCAGGTTTCTTACATTACCAGCAGAGATTAGTCAAGCAACAATAGGGAAATTAGAACTGATGGTTAGCTAAACGTAGCACTGTCTGTGAGCAGAAACTGCAAGGGCAATTTTTATATGGGCAATAGCTGGAACAGTGGCAGCAAGGGTGTGGGTTGGAGTTCAGGGAGAGAAAGAAAAGCTTGAGAAAAGGATGTGAAGAAAGCAAGGGTGTTTTGTGGGACAATTTACAGCTTGAAAAGAAAAAGGAAATATTTAGGATGGAAACAAGAGGTGGGTGTTCTGGGAGGGCTTGGCTAGGAGAAGGGGATTAAGAGACAGCGTTGGAAGCACTTTTGAAAGAAAAGCTGATCTGGGAATTGTACTGGATCTGTCAGGGTTGGCAGCTGGGAGAAGCGGATTTGTGGGAAACTAGGGGACTGGGTCACAGCAGGATTTGCAGCAAGAGAGATTGGGATTAGCATATGAGATCCCTGGAACCTAAGTTAGTACACACTGATTTGAAAATCAGTTTAAACTGTTATATGCATGTGTTTGTCTCCTTCTGCAGCTGCTGCTACATCATTAAAGATGTCCTTATCTACCTAGGTTTTGTTACAATGAGCAACCTTTTGTTGCAGTAGAATGAGTTAAGAGTATCCTGTTCTAGAGCATGAAGGAAGGAGTGAAAATTTTCTCTTGATTATCTAGCGACTTTTAGTGAGGCATAGGAAGCACTTTGCATTGATTATGAAGCATTTTTATAGGGCAGCAAAGTCCAGTTCTTAAGGATTGAATTTGTATGATGCTGTTGTGATTACATGTCATTAAATTGAAGTTAGACTTTGCTGGCTTTAATGTGGGTCTATTTTCCATTCTTTTTGTAAGAAGCATGGAGTGAGTTTGTTAACATGATGCTGGGTAAAGATAATTTAAAAGTCTCTGCTAAGATAGCATCTGATTAATTACCTCCTAAAAACTGGAGAATTGTTGTTGTATTTTAGCTTTTCTGTCAGAGGTAACTGATTGTGTCTGAAACTTTTCATTGGAAATCTGTGACCTCAGTGAAGAGCATTTTTGCTAACTTATTTTGCTTTTTGATGGGCTAAGAGCATGCATGGAGTCTGTTACTGTAACTAAGTTGATACACAGTAATCATGTTTTGGTAACTTCATAGGGCATCTGAAATTTTAGACTTGCTGAGAGCTAAGGTGAAGTTGATTATGTTGTTGCTGCAAAATGTTATGAAACATTTGTGCAGAAAAAAACAAGAAAACAAGTTGTATGTAGCTGTTCTTTGTTTAACCTGCAGTGCTGAAAGAGCTTCAGATTTTGTGTTTAGTAACTGCAAACAAAAGAAATGCTCAGCCTCCCAGCTGGCTTGATTCTGATGTGTGATGCTTCTCTTTATCTTATCTCTTCAGGAATACTTAAAACTTTCTGAAGATTATAAACTTTCGGGTGTCTTCCTTGCAGGTATTGTTTTTATTATGTATCATTTTCTCTCTTACACTGTCAGTAATGATGGCAATCTGTAATTATTCCAAGTCTGCCCCACTTTGGTGAGAAGTGAATGAACAGATGTGGATGACAGGTTCCAGTCTAATGTGGGAACAGGCTGAATAAACTCCCACTAGTCAGTATTGCCTGGGGAGAGCAATTCATCTGTCTGCTGACAGATGAATACTCCATAACCGTCATTGCTTGATCAGCAGCCCAGTGCCTGCCATGGGAACATGGTGCCAGGCCCACTTACCAATCTGCATCAGGAGCCTTCACCTGGAGCTGAGTGCCAGGTGCCCTGGAGCTGGTGTCTGTGCAGGCCATGTCTGCAGCTCGGCCTTCTCACACCTGGCTTGAGCAGCACTGCTCCTTGGGTTGCCAGTGGGAACATCCAGCCTGCTGCTTCCATCAGATTCTCTTGGGAGCATGGCTGTCTAGACCTATTCACCCTCCTCATGATGCCACAGATCTCACTGCAGAGGGGGAAAGAGGAACAGGAAGTACCAGAAGTACTTTGGCAGAAAACGTCCTTGTCAGTTATAACTGACAGGGCATGAGTTTTCTGACAATGATGGGTACTTTTTAACTGTAGGTTTTGAAGGATTCTCGTTACTGGTAAATGGAAAACAGTTTTTTCCAAAACAGATTTTGGTAGTGGCAGATAAAAAAATCAGCTATGTTATGTGAAAAGGGGAGTAGATGGAGGTGACTAGGAATAACTTGATACAGGAAACTCTAAATGTTCTCTGACTAAGCGAAACCAAATCTGTGCTGATGCAAGTTAATCCCACTGGAATCAGCCACTTGTAACACTCAATTACAGAGCATCGTCAGCTCATATGCCTCGTCTTTGAGGAGATACTTTGAGATTCCCTCGCTGTTACTGACTGACCTCATGCTAGAAGTTCACACTTTATTTCTCCCCTTTTACTTTTAAGCTGAGGTTTGAGGTGTGCAGAAACACTTGCTGGATTTGGTTTTGGGAGTAAGGTGCATAGAACTTTGTTTTTAATCTGAGCAGATTGTGGTTACATGAAAATAATTATACAAGATCATAATCAAATATACAAGAAATAATCAAATTTCAAGGCTGTGGAGCATAGGACCTGTCCCTCTCTTCCCCCTGGCCCCAGGATGGGCTGTTGTTCCTTCCAGTATTGTGAAGGATCCTTCTCTATTTATCTTTTTTTTTCCCCTTATTTAAATGGGGATGTGAAATCGTAATGTTACTGAACAAATATTTTAGCAGAAAATGTTGAAATTAGGATTAATATTTTTCATGGAGTAGAAGAATAAAAGCATCCCTAGCATTTTGTACTACTGATACACTGAAATACACTCAGTTGGATTTTTAGGAGTTGTTTACTCAAGCAGAATGAGGTGACAGCAGTTACACTTTTTCCCTTTATTTCTACATGGAAAAAGGCCGTTCCATGGGCTCACGAGCTGCTGCCTCTGTGATACGTCAGCTCAGCCAGGATGATGATGATGATGATGACTTCATTCGAGGTCTAATATGTTTATCTTACCCATTGCATCGACCAAAACTTCAGTCCAAGCTCCGGGATGAAGATTTATTATTCCTCAGGTGTCCAGTGTTGTTCGTCTCAGGATCAGCAGATGAGATGTGTGAGAAAGTGAGTACCCTTGTAAATCCTGCTATGAAAGGGCAG